TCGACTGCATGTAGAGAGTAGAAGAAAAAGAAGTCTCCAAATTTTTAGCACTTCAGAGGCTTCTCGCATTAATCGAAGGGCTGAAAGAATCTCTCAAGAAAAGACATGTGACTGTTCAAGGTGATGACTCGCAGAACGGGTCACATCCAACCATCTGCTACAATCGGAAGCGTACCAGTACAGATGTAAATCATCCAGTCCCTGGTAAATTGGAAACCTGCCGAGCAAATGTGGCTGCATTGAAGGAACAAAATGTGGATTTGCTTAACATTCTGGAAATGAATAATAAAACTGTCGCTGCCTACACAGCGAGTCTCGGACAATGCCAAAGGGAAAGGCTCGAACTGGCAGAGAAATATTCGCTATACAAAGGTTCACTCTTGCTTAAATCATCCCGTATCTTGTAGGAAACCGTTTATTTGACGAAATTTGTCCAAGAGAAAGTATTAGAATTCAAGCATTATCATGCAGACAAAAAACATGTAAAAGCCGGGGAAAACATAACCATAATTGTATAAGTATTTAATGAAAGAACTTCTAAGAAATCATACAGAAGGCATGCTGATTGAAAATGGTTTGCTGGAATATCAAATGTTCAAGGGAATCGAGTGGGTTTTGAGCGTTGAATGGGAATCGCTCTGTCGACTAAGCTCGACAATGTCCTCACTGGGTTTCATTCTTTTTCTTTTGCTCAGCTGTAATTAAAGCAACGCAGTAGCTGTCGAAGCTAAAAGGCAGGAAGCCTTAAGGCAGTCACAGCTGGTGATGAAGACAGAGACGATGGAGCTCGGCTTTTAGCACAAGTAGGAAAGAAAGAAAGAAACTTTATTAATAAAAGTTTTGCCTTTGGTATTTTACCCAAGTATCATTGAAAACTTTCATATATATAAAACGTTGGCAATTCAGTATGCCCGCACACACACACACACACACGCACACGCACTACTCATATGGCGACGGCTGTTCACATATTCATGCATTAAACTGTGAGCTCGTTTTTATGCATGTGACAATATTTGCTGCACTTGTTTTTGATTTTCATTGTTGATTTTGTATTTCTTTTTTATTTTGCGTATGGCAAAACATTCACATAATTTTTGCCTGCAGCCCATCGCCAAAGGACGTCCCACTTCGGGCATAATTGGTTCAAGTAATAAAATTGCGTACGTTATTAAACTTGGCTCAGACGTGACTGCATTTTTGTAAAATTTTTCCTGAAAGTGGAAGCACAAGGAGAAAGGATATGTAAATATATTAAGAACTATATGGATTGCATTGTATATAATTTTTTATTCATTTATATATTTATTTATTTATAATTTATTATTTATTTATATATATATTTATTCATTTATTTATTTATTTTTCATTTATTTATTTATTGTTCATTCTAAACATTCATATAAAATTCACTATCTGAAAGGATTCCGCCGATTTATTTAACTTTGGTAGTATTAATCATTATCATTTTCTTGCTTAAACAGATACATTAGTAAACGAATGTCAAAGTTTAGATTTCATTTTTGGTAAAGACTTATCCATCATTCCCCAATATTAATCGATTCTCTATGCATCAAAAGTTTATTCAATTGCTTTCTCTTAACACTATTTGCATGGATGTCTCTCTCTTTATCAAAGAGTTATCTTCTAATCATTGACTCCATAATCTTACGTCCACACTCAGCTCAGGCTCAAGGCGAGGCAAGGCAAAAAGGCCCGAGGTATGTCGAAAGCATCTTTAGACCGCAAAAGCCGAGGCTCCAGCAATGCCCGTTTCCCTCAGTGATGACGATAAGTGGCCAAGGCAGCAAATGCCTCTCATCCTGGCCAAGGCAGGCACTACAAATGCCGTTAGGCTTTGAGCCACAGAGACACAGATAGTCAGAGAGAGAGAGAGATGGGGAGTGAGAGCAGGCAAGATTGTAGTCGTGTTGTAGCTGAAGCAGCTCTCAAACTATTTGCACATTGAGTGCTTGCATATTAGCATGGAAAAGGGAATATCTAATGAGCTGCTGCGTACCGTCCATTAACAGGGGAAACGCATTTTCTCAAAGTTTAGTTCCATTAGGGTACACTCCGACTTCAGATTCTTCGGCGACTACTATTTTTCCTATTCCTATTTACCAGACACTCACTTAGCTAGACAAACTAACACAGCTAATTAAAGTAAAGCAACAACAGCAACTGCAACATCAGCAGTAATTTTGTTGGCCAGTTAGGCGGAAGTAATTGCTGTTGTAAGTGCTTAAGATACAGATACATGCAGAGAAATGCAGACACAGATACATTTGCCAAGCAATCAGTGCCAGCGACTTCGCTTTGACACATGAATATGCAAATATGAGACAATCATCTCTCCCAGCATCGCATCGCCTCGCACTGGTGTCCCCCACTTGCTACTTACTTCGATCCGCTGCGCTGCTGTTCATTAATTTGCAGGACTCTCCGAACTGAACATCGTTTCGGTCTTGGCTGACTTTGTTGCCTCTTAATTGATTGCAGCCATTTGGGCTAGCTTCACCTGCTGTCCTCTGTCCTCTGTCCTCTGCTCTCTGCATTACATGGTGTGAATCTTTGCGCCCGTCTCTGCATAAATTAGTGCGAATATGCCCTCCCTGACAGCTACGCCATACTTGTTAATTGAAATTGAAAAAACTTTCCGCTGACTTGATAATGTAACTCTCAAATATGGAAACAATATGTTCATATGTCTGATTCAGTTTGTAGAGCAAAAATAATTTACTTTTTACTTCAATTGTGTCAAATTTTTACTTTTACTTTTAAACAAGATTTCTTTTGTAAAGTACAACATTGCTATAGGTTATCAACGCATTTATATTATATAATTAATTTATTTTTTATTAAATATATGCACTTATCTAAAAGAAGCATAACAGAGGGTGTGCCATAAAGTAAACATTTAAAAAATAATATCTATGATATCATGCTTATATGATCTATACAATGTATAACTTTTTCATATTTATAAAACTCAAACCTATTTTTTTAAATATATAAATACATTAATATATACATTTTGTTTATTTTATTAAATAAAATATATTTCTAATTCTCAAATGATTTTTTCATTACTTATTTTTTTATTTTATATTTATCAAAATATTTTTAGTATACCCACCTATTTAAATAAGCTTAAAATATTGCGCTTCTTTTTAAGATTTGTGTTTTTATATTAAGACATTTCTATGTACAAGTCGGAAAGTCATCTCTACTATAAGTATTATTATTATAAATTTTGTTGTTGTTATTAATAACAAAATGTCATTCATTCAAATCGAAAGAATATCAGTTGTCCAACCTCTTTAGTTTCAGTGAAACTGTATGTCGCACTATATATGTATGTACATAGCTGACTTATCAGCTAAATTCAAATTCAATTCTCAGAGCTTTTCGACTTTTATTGTTGCTTTGTTTATTTAAATATATACATTCTGCTTAAATACACATATGTTTGTATGGGAATATGCATTTCATACTGATGCTGATATGGGCCTTATCATGAGCTGTACGAATTTGAGCGTTTCTTCGAAGCCATGCCATTGGTGCCAGATGATGCCTTTGCCGCGTGTGCTGGTGCTGAGCTGCCTTCTCTTAAAGTACTTGCCATTGGGATTGCTGCGTAAACAATAAATACGTAATCATTAACAGAGCGCATGATGGACAGAGAGAGAGAGAGGGGGGGGGAGAAAGTCCTACCAGAAAGCCGAGCAGGAGGCGTACCACCAGGCGCTGTGGTATCTGCGGGCGCAGCTGCCCTCCTGCCAGGTGTCGTTGTCCTTGTCGGCCGTGGAGAACCTCTGCAGGACATTCAGGGCCATCGAGTTGCCAGCGGTGCCCTCGTACTCGCCCAAGGACTGCAGCTGGTAGAAGCTCTCCTCGCTACCCACGCTGAAGTTATCGTAATGCGCATAGCGCACCTCGCCCTCAAAGTCCTCCAGGTAGACGAAGAGCTCGAAGCGCCGCAGGGCCGTCAGACGATGCAGCTTCTCCAATCCGAGGAAGAACTCGCCACTGAGCGAGCCGAAACCAGCTCGGTACTCGGTCCAGTTGCGATAGAAGTCAACGCTGCCATCCATGCGCCGCTGAATGACCAGCCAGCCGGAGCCGGCAAAGCGCGCATCGCACGGCACATAGAAGGGGTCCTGTCCCGGCAGCTTGATCCTGTAGAGGCCCGTGGCACTGCCAAAGGGCAGACAGCTCTGCGGCAAGTACTCTTCCAGCTCCGCGTCGTAGGCCTTCAGCTTGAGCTGTGCTGCTCGCAGATTCAACAAGTTCTCTTCGTTCTGGGCGCGTAGCTCCAGAATTTCTCTATCTCTCTCTTGCAGCCGCAACTGCAACTCCGACTGATCCTGCCCGCCCCCGGCTAAATTGATCCTGCAGCTGGTCAAATTTTGCAGCAGTATTCCAGAACGATCCTCACTCTCCTTGAGTCGCACTGACGCTGCCTTTGCCTTTGCCTCGCAGGCACTCAGCCAGCTCTTCTGTTCACTGATGTAGGAGTCGCAATGCGCCTCAATCTGAGCTGTGCTTCGATTTCTCACCGAATTCCAGTTGGACTCCAGCTGCAGCAGCCCTTCATTGTTTGTCTGTATCAGCTCTTCCAGCTGATCTATTCTCACCTTGACTTCATTTCTCTCCGCGATAGCGCCTCTGCCGCCCAACACAATACACAGCCAAATATAGTATTTAAATATAGACGAGTATGTGCTCATTGTGCGTATGTCTCACAAACTGAAACTCCAAGCTCATATTTCCATAGAAATCGCATTCGTATTTGGCGCAGCCAAAGAGAATTTCAATAACATAGAGCGCTATCAGCTGAAAACACTGAGCAAAACTATTAGGTTCATTAAAAAAAAAGCTAAATATACACACATGCATATAATACATAATATATGTATAAATAAATATTATTCTGGTCACAGAATATTATAATCAAACTAATTTAGTTGAAATCATTTCTTCTAGCTTTACACATTTGTTTTTAGTAACATTTTCTTTATTAAACGAGCTCTTATAGAGTTTCTTTGGAAACTTTGGGTCGTATCATCATGATGACTGATTTCAACGAATAGTCCGACTCATGAAAATCGTCATCCGCCCAAAAGATGCCCTTATCGGCATAATCATACTCCAAGTCCGCCTCGGCATAAAAACCATTCAAGTTACTGAAAATACAGTAATTAAATATATTAATAATACATGAAAATTAAGTTTAGTGATGGGCAAAGTAGAATATATGTATGTATACTTAGTAAAATGTATGTGGGTATTGCTCTTATTATATCCAGTTAGCATACCTGTAGCCGCAATGGTCGTACCACCAGGCGCCATGCCGGAGCTCAGCGCAGTTGTTGACCTCATCGGCATCGTTGTCCTGATCGAAGGTGGTGAACTTTTGGCCCCTGTTCATGCGCATCGCATCCCCGACGGTGCCCTGGTGCTTGCCGAGCGATAGCAGGGCGTACGCCTCCTGCTCGGAGCCAATTTTGAAGTCATCGAAGCTGGCATATCTCGTATTGTTGCTAAAGTCCTCCAGCCAGACGTACAGCTGCTGGGGCGTGTCCTTGGTCATGTGGTGTAGCCGCTCCAGCCCAATGAAGAACTCGCCGGTCACATTGCCGAATCCCCGCTTGTACTCATCCCAGCTGCGATAGAAGTCGACCTCGCCGTTGATCCGGCGCTGTATGACGGTCCAGCCATTGCCGGCCAGTTGGCTGTTGCAGAGCACTTGGAAGGGGTCCGGCACGCCACTCACCTGGATCATGTGCACAGTGTTGGAGGCGCCAAATGCGACGCAGCTCGATGCCTGGCAGCAGCTGCCGTAGCCCTCGACGAGTTCATTCAAGTGCTTGATGCTCGCGTTGCTCGCACTGAGCTGCGCCCTCAGCTCGTCATTCTGCTTGCCCAGTGCTTCTACGGCGGCATTGGATCTGACTAGCTCTGCCTGCAGCATGTTGATTGTATTCTGGTGATCGGCCAGCTCTTTTAGCTGCAGCATATTCGCCTGCTTCAGCTCCAGGACTGAGCTGTTCTGATTGCCCACAAGCGTACTCAGGGCGTCTATCGTTTCATTTTGTTTGTCGATTTCAGCTTTCTTCTCACTCAACTCACTCTCCAATAGCGCATTTTGACTGCTTAAGGCTGCGACGGTTTCATTACTTTCCCGCAGCTGGATCAGCGTGCTGTTCAGGGCTATCCCTAGGCTGCATAGCTTTTTTTCCCTCTCCTTCGCCTCGCGCTCACAATTGACCAGCAAATCATTCCTACTTATAATCGTGGCCGCATGCTCGATAATTGTACTCTGCAAATGTGTATTATTGAACTGAAGATTTCGTGCCAGGTTGTCGTATATTTGTATGTGCCGCCTTCGATCCTGAATTATCTTCTTACACACGCTCTGATATTTCGCTAATTTATCTCGAATCACTTCACATTTCCCTAGGCTTGAGCTGGGTTGAACGGTTTCTGCTCTTGCTCTCGATCGACCAGAGCTGCCCACAACCAACAGCGCGAATATGGCAATCACACAAATTTCACTCCGCATCTCACTCGGCCTGTTCGTCAACTTGTTTCTTTCGCACAATTCGTGAAACGTAAAAAAAATACCACTGGGATGGCTTGTGATATTTGCTAGCTTTTATTTATTTACTCATAATATGTACAGTAAATATACCTAGTAAGAATACTTAGTACTTAGACGATCTGACATTTGTCCAAAACTACTGTTTTATTTTAATATAGTACAATTAAAAACAAAAATAAAAAAATAAAATAATAATAAAATTAAAAATAAAAATAATAATCATATAATTTTCTTCCAAGTTTCTTCTCTATTCAGCAGTTGAACAATTTAGGCCTGGGAATTTCAGTTTATTCCGCGTAGGAAGGCTTTACTGTGGCTTATCTGAAACGTCTGTGAGCTCTCTGCATATACTATTCGCGCTTTATATGCATATGATTTCTTCTGAATTACCAGCTGCGTATATATAAACATATGTAGACATATATTTCGATAAGCTCAGTGAGTTTAATATTCATATATGGTAAATTAATATTATATATAATCTAAATAATATAGTATGTATATAATATAATGTAAAATACATGCAAAAGCTTTGCTTTCTTTCATATTGAGGCTTTTAATACGCTGAAGCCATTGTAAATGAGAAATCAGAGTATAATTATATGTAGAAGAGGGCGTGTCTGACCAAATAAGGTGTATATATATTTAGAGCCGGACGAAGAGCTGAGCTATATATATTCGTCCATCCTTATGACAGCATTCATGTTATATGCCACAAACGCTTGAGATATGAAACTCTAATTATGTATATTCATTAAAGAAGCATAAAATCATGCGAATATTATATTTTTGCAGGATTCATACTCCTAATTCGCATGAGTAATCAAATTTATATATATTTATATATACTTAGATATATGTCATATAGACTGCTATATAAAAATATATCTTTATATAAGCTTTTGATGATTATTATTATCTCAATTTATATTTATATTTATTTCGGTGCACATGAAATCCAACTGCTACCAACTTGCAATCCTTTTTCACATGGGATCTCTTTAATCATATTTCTTATAATTCACTTTAATGTCTTTTCAATTTGGATGTGCTTGACGCTTTAAGGGCTGCGGCGCCAGCGACGCCCGCATCAATTAAATGGTTATATTTTATTAAAAGTCTCAAACAAAAGACGCAATCGCATTGCTATGGCAAATAGACGGTGCAACTGAGCGTATACGCAACGTGCAACAGTATGCGAGCCATTGGAGCGTGGGCGTGGCAGGCGGGCGTCCTTTGGGAGTTGCCATAACGTTGACGCAGCAGCCGCGCAGCCAAGTCGAGACGCCGCGACGCCTGCACTTCACAGACAAGTGCTGTGGATGGGGCGTGGCAGGGGCGAGCTATGAAGGGGCGCCTAGACAACGCTGTTATTTATTCCGGATTTGTCTACCTTTTTATTTATGTTTGGCAGACGCCAATTTTCATGGCGGCGACGGCGGCTGAAGCAACGGCTTTGGCTTTGGCTTTGGCTCTGGCTCTGACTCTGGCTATCCAAAGGATGCAGCTGTTGGGCAACCAGTGTGCAGGTGTGCAGGTGTGCAGGGGTTGACCACGTGATTTTGTGTGCCAGCCAAGTGGAAAATAAAAGAAATGCCAAGCAGCAGCCGACACGTTGTAAGCTCACCTTTGATTGTCTCAGCCCGGTCAGACTTGGCCAGGTAATGAAAGCTGCCCTCAGTTTGAGGAGAGACAAAGCGAAAGGGAGAAAGAGAGAGAGAGAGATGGACTCGTTGGCTGCGCTGTAAATATTTTAGCTGCAAAAATTCTTTTGGTTTATGCCTTTGGCTTCTGCCGCTCGAATTATAACGTAACAATCTTAAATTGTTTGTCATTGGGCCAGCTTGCGCTTAAAGCCAACTATTCTTGATTAAAAAACTTTTCGGCCAGCCAAAAACAAAACAAATTCAATAAGCGGCAGCCAGTAAAAATCAATAACATAAGCCGACAGCTGCCCCCATCGAAGTGGCGCGAACTAAGTAATCTAAGCCACAAAGCACAGCCGCAGTATGCGTGCAGGGGGAGGGGTGGCATGGCAGCTGTGGCGGATGGAGAGGGGCACATAAATTCAAGATGTGGCCATAAGATTTATGACGATTGCGAACGTGGAATTTCGACAGAGTCCGCATAGACAAAAGTGGCCAAAAGAAAATGCCGCAACATTTGTGCGCGCCTCTGGCCTTTGAACTTCCTTGCGGGGGCGTGGCCGGACAACAATTTACAGTAGGCATATAAAATGTGCATAAAAATTGAAACGGCTGGCAGGCGCTGGCAGCGGGCGCACAGCGCGTATACTTTACGCATTTTAAGTTTCAATTTCACAGCCGAATTTATGGGCATAAAAATGGCGGCACGGCCATTTTATGGCCACTTCCGCTGACCAAGAAGCACCAAGGCAGCCGAAGCTCCTAAGTGATTTCTAACATAAAACGCATTAGAGCCAGACGTCAGACATCGGACATCGGACATCGGACATCAGACGTCAGACAAATATGATAAATTCCTTCTATATGTAGACGACTGACTGGCTTCAAATCGAAATTTGTCGCGCTTTTATTTACTACTCCGCCACTTGATGACGGATGCTGAGTGATGCAAAATGCTTTCTTCCATGTCATCGGCTCACACACCCCTCGCATGCCCTCCGCAACGAACTGTCAAAGTCGTTCGGGCCACGGTCTCATAATCCGGCTTATTATGCAAAGTAAATGCCCGCCCCCTACGTCAGACATCAGATAATCTTGCTGATATTTCATTGTCGTCGTCGAGGCTTGTAAATGCGTTAACAGCCACGCCTACTCCCCTCTTACGCCAATTGCGAAATATTTCCGTTTCCGGTTTGTTGTTATCGCCGTTGCACCCGGACCTCGACCCGTAGCCGCTTATAATGCCGGACAATTTGCTCAGATTTTTCCTTTACGATGTGACTCGTCCATATATATTTTCATTTTTTTATACATCCGCCGCATATATGGAAATTCTTGAATTTATTATGCCCTCGTCCGATTGTCTCGCGCGTAATTTTCCAATTTCCATAAACGGTTTCAATTTCGCCATTTCCTTCATCTCTTTCCTCTTATTTCTCCCATTCCTCTCCGCTTGTGTTTTATCATCGTGTTGATGTGCCGGACGAAAGGGTTTCGCAATTCGGCGATGGGTTTCCCTTACGGCTCATTAACATATTAAATGGTTCCTTAAAGCTGATGGAGTATCAAATTATACGATTGTAGCCAAGACTATGCCGCATTATGGACACGTTACACTCAATTTCTATTGCGCATCGTAGTCACTGGGGCGACAGCCTCTCGACGGCCTTTAACATTTCTCTATTTCAATTTGCATTTTTATTCATTTTGTTTGGATCTCGTATATTTCGTTGATATAAAAAGTGAGATTGCGGCAATTGGAATGGTCTTGGGAAAGTCATTGTAAATATAATTCGCAATGAAAATAATTTTATTAAATTATGACAGTTATAAAATCTTGGTATAAGCTGTGATTTCATGCGTGTGAAAGAGTTGTAGGGATTCGCAATCTAGAAGTTAGAACTCTTACTAATATATATGTGTCAACGTCATATAAAAATAACTATGTATAATTATAATTAATATTTGGGAATCCCAGCTATCTCCGTTGAAGCGAAATTAAGTGTCTGGATACATTATAGATGTGCTTAGAAATAATAAATTAAATAGTAATAAAAAAAATTTAAAAATAAAATTAAATATAAATTTAAAAATATTTTTTAAATAAAATCAAAGCTTTTATAAGGTAACTTAATATTTTAATTAAATTAACGTTGTTTAATGAGCCAACTTTTTTCCACAATTCTTTATTTTTTAGTTCTGTCAATTATTCTAGACCAAATGGTAACACGTAGATCTCTAAATAAAATCGTGTCAACAGTAATTAATCTGATGCCATAGAACATTTCAATACAAACATTATGCAGGACTTTCACCTGTTCATATTGTAGCCCATGATTTACTCAAAGTCAAGACTTACGACAAAAGAGTTCAAGAGTAATGAATTTTATTAAAGTGAACAATAAGCCGAATAAAAAGAAAATAATAAATCAATAATTAATTATTTTCTTATCATTTATATCTGATTGTTCTCTCTTTAATTATATATTCCATGCATATCAACATGTATACATATGCTTATATAATTCTTCAAATGACATGTGCAAGGTCTTCTCAAAACCTTTATCTTTAGCATAATTTGTTAAAGTCGACGCGTATTTTGCTTGGCGAATATATGTACATATGCTTCACATGCCAAAAATCTGATGACACAGCCGTCGCAGTTGATCGTCTGTTGTTCGTGCAGTGCATACTGAGCAGTTGTTTCTCTGTTCTTCTCTCGCTCTCACTCTCCTTCTATCTCTTTCTATGCAACTAAATGACTTCATTATGTGTGCTCAGCCATGCAAATTCGCAACTGATTTGGTGCCCAAATCACATTGTTGAGTTGGAAAGGAACGTATGGAATAATGCAAAAGCCAAAAAAGAAACGATTTAAAAACTCTAAAATTAAGCTATCTTCAGGTTTTACAGCTTCGTCCCTCTCTCTTTCTCTCTCTCGCTATAAGGTGGCAAGGCATTCAAGTACAATATGTGTATAAAAAGTCAAAAAGAAATAAGTGCAATGCAATGTCATTAAAGTAGACAAGCAGACAGCGACGATTGCGGGGCATGAACGGCGTCTGACGATGACTATGACCAACATAAAATCACAACACACTCACACATAGAAACAGAGAGACAGAGAGAGAGAGAGATAGACACACTCACGCAACGGATAGAAAGACATACGCCGTAACACAATCCGTAACCCAACCCGTATTCCTGTCTGTGGTCGCTTATCGGACGTTCCCTCTTCATAAGTGTGTGTGTGTGTGTGTGGCTCGTCTGGAACTGTGAGCTCTGTCTCGTGATTGTGTCCTCCGTGTGCGTTACGTAAAGCTGTAATCTG